ATCAGACGTATCGTCTGCGTCCCAGAGAGGTTCCCATAGGTACCACGTCATCTCGCTGCCTTTCGCACTTTGAACGTGTTAACCTCGGGCATGTCAAAAAGTGCGAAAGGCAGCGTCGCACCACGTACGCACTCTGGTTCACATGGGAACCTCCCTGGGGCGCAGACGGTACGTGAAGCGGCTCATCTCTCTTGAACAGAGAATGAATAATAGTTCCGTAGAACGACCCGGGACCTAGTTTAGGCTTGATACATACCTCGCTGCTTACAATTAGGTATGGACAAAACCAACGAGCAGCGAAGGCAGCCTGCTTCGACTGATCAGTGCTGCAATCGGCTGCTTCTTAAAGGCAGTGTCCGGGCACAAGGTGGGTTTTGGGATTTCAGTGCCATGCGAGAGTCCCCCTCAGACACAACATCGCGCAAGTGCGACGTCATAACGCTCGACCTAAAGCAAGAAAAACGATCAGAAAGTGGGGATACTTACGCCTTGGGGCGGGGTCCTCCGAGCTGTCCGAATTCCTGCTATGCGGCAGAGTACGCATGCCTCCACACTTAAAGTGTAGGGTCCCGCAGCGACTCTGCGTCTCTGCCTTGGTGGGGGCCGTCGAATTTCAAATTGTGCGGCTTTGGAAAACGTATGTTCTCGCCGTTTTCGCGCCTTCTAATGGGGATTTTCTTCAGCGTTTCGGATAACCCCCGCTAAGTGGATTTTCTAGTCGTTTGCTCGACACTGCCTTTAAGTGCTCGCTGAGTGCAAACACTAACCAGCGCTATCGCCAAGTTTTGTAATGTCGAAAACGAGAGAATTAGCAGGTTTTGAGTGGAATTTGGAGTCATATTCTATTTTTATGAAGAGTTCTTCATGTTCCATTTTTCATTACCAAATTTTTAATGGAAAGGTAGCCTCATACGAGCAAACTTAAGAGGAGCATAAGTGTACTGATTCCATTTGACTTTCATCAATGGTTGTCCCGCAATACGAGAGTGTCCCTTAGGCCCCGGACAAACTTCACGCGATTTGATCGTCGCGACTCAATCGCCGACATTTCCATTCATTTTCAATTCACATTCAAAAATTTCGGGCTGGAAAAGCATCACAACCGAAACGCAAGTTGATCGGCATTGAATGATGTTGTAACAGTTGTCTCGTCGCGATTCAGTCGCGACGATCAAATCGCGTGAAGTCTGTCCGGGGCCTTGGGCAGTGACATGATCGGAGTCCACTGGGGGCGAAATTTTATCTGAGCACACCGTCAGTTTCTTAAATTATTGCCATTCTGTAGTGAATTTGATTACTTCATATCTCTTTAACTTCATGGAGTGTCTCTCCAGTTCATTCCCAATATTTTCCCATATTCGTCTCTAAAATCCTAGTTTGATGGTCTTAGGTTGCATTCAAGGCTTCTTTAGGCAATAAAGACGGACTTTGTTTCTGAAGCGCTAATTGCAGCTTGAAAACCGGTAAAAATAGGTAGCTTCAAACAAAAGCAGCTGTTTGCAGCTCAAAGCAGCTGAGATACGCTCAGAAAAAGTGAGCGTAACCCAGCTGCAAGATCTAGTGCAGCGCTGATCACGAGCAGCGCTGCTCAAAAATGAGTAGCTAGTATGGACATGACCTTTTGACCATGACCAAAACCCAAAACAGAACAGATTTCGCAGTCGTTGCACCGTTTGCCACAGTACCCCCTAGCGCGCCCAACAGGGTGTTCGTGGCGGGACCAGCGGACCAGCGTACCTGCGAACTTCAAAATGAACCTAATGCAGAATCAGTTCTTGTCCGAGGTTTTGGGCGTACAAGAACTACAAGGACATCAAAAGATGAGCAGTTTTTTCGCACCTAACACAGGTAATGTATCATACGCAGATTCTGAGTCTATTGCTTTCATAACCGTTGTCTAAATTGGCATATTCGTAGTTGCTTTGTTTTTTTCTCTTACTTTCAGCGTGGGGGAGATCAGCATGCTCGATTACACCCCCCTGCCAAATTCCAGCCTCCTAGCTCAAATTTTGCAAAAAATCGGTAAAATCGACATCGATCGATAGCGAAAAGTGGACTGTGACACCCGCCGGGGCGAAGTGTATGTGTGTCAAGTTTGGTCCGGATCGGTTGAGAAATGGAATTTTCTATGTGGAACATACGGCGGAGCCGGGTAAGCCAGCTAGTATCCCTATAAATTCAATCGAAGACAAGGACTCCAAAAACTAATAGCACACTTCTTGTTTTTGTAAAGAATTTGGAGAAACCGCCCTGAACCTGATATTTCTGTAAGCTGAAACTGAGTACAGCTAGCTTTAAAGAAATTGCAAGATTTCCATGTTGTTTCAGAGCAAAATACTCCCTGAGAAACATTACTTCTCTTATAGTAGACGTCATCTGTCTAGTCTACTCGCTGCGCCTTGTGTCACTACACAAACATTTGAAATCCCGGATAAGACCAGCTGTCCGCTTGTGCTGTATAGATGCACGCAAGGACAGACGCCGAATTTAAAATGACGCCGAAGTCTTTTGTCTCATTTTGTCTTTTTTTTTTTGGTTTCCAGCCTCCCGCAGCCGCTATTTCTCACTGAACTACTGCTTTGAGGACCGTGTGTGTTGTTCTGCGCTGATATTCTCGAGATCTTGTATTTCTACTTCCAGAGAAGTGAGGAGTACGCGCAGTTAAACGAGAAGGAGAAGTACCTCTGTCGCTACAATATAAGCACCTGTGCTTATTACAGAGTAGAGAGTCCCTAGATAAGCCTCACTTTGAACCTCCTATTGACTGATAACGACGCCTCACAGACAAATCAGCATGACTATAGTGTCAACTAAAATGAGAACCAGAAGTTCATCGCATCTTATATGAGACCACTACTCAGTTATAAGTTCAGATTACTTACATTGCAGAAAAAATCGCAATTATGAAATCTCAGACTGCGCGTATTCCTAGCTTTTCTGGAAGTAGAAATACAAAATTTCGAGAATATCAGCGCAGAACGACACGGTCCTTGAAGCAGTAGTCCAGTGAGAAATAGCGGCTGCGGGAGGTTGGAAACCAAAAAAAAAGACAAAATGAGACAAAAGACTTTGGCGTCATTTTAAATTCGGCGTCTGTCCTTGCGTGCATCTACAACACAAGCGGACAGCTGGTCTTATCCAGGATTTCAAATTTTTGTGCAGTGTCACAAGGCGCAGTGAGGTGACTAGACAAATGACGTCTACTTATTTGTAAAGTAAGCAAAGTGCGAAGAGTGACTGTAGGCTCGAGCTAGTTTAGAGCTCTCAAGACACTCCCAGAGGCAAAGGCGGCTGCTTTACTGCCTCTACATGACCTCCGGTTCGTCGAGTCTTTTTGACCTGGACGTGGATGAAGAAGTTGATTATCATCTCTGGATAATCGAGAACGTTATTGCACACATTGTTCAACGAGGTCGAACATGTTTTCTCACAACTTCCAAGTGCTCAAGCAAGTATGAATTTATCAGATGTACGCAATACGTATTACGCAAAGCGTTATCAAGTATCTTAGTTTTGAAATGGATGATTTGGCAACTGCTACTACCAGCGTTAAGCAGGGTCAGGCACAAGTCTTTTGAAAAGACGAAGAAAATTTGGCTGAGACTTCGTTAGCCGAGTTAATCAGCATGCTGTTCAGACAGTCATTCCTCTGGTAGAGTTGTGAGATTCACGGTTGAGCGCTTTTCTTTCTCACCTTGCTCGACCGTACATTTCTTCAATTTCTGAACAAATATGCTTCTTTATTACGAGCCCCCCCCCCCCTCTTGCTCTTACCCCCAATACGACCCCTCAGGTCGGGCGCCCCTGACCTCACGCTCAACCCTGGCTGTAACAGTCCACGCAGGCCGCAATCTGCGGACTCGCACGTTTTTCCTTCTTGGGAACTCTGACCGCTTTTTACTCTACCCTTTCTCCCAATCGGACAGTCTTTTATGAACGCAACAACTTTGCATTCTGCACGAAACGCTGACGACCTGTATAGAAGAGCCGGTAACCAAGTCATGCGCACTGTGAGAGAGAACGAAGAGATTGAAGAGCACACAAGCAAGCAGTAGCTGACGCAACATGACGCAACATCTTGGCGGTGCTGCGCACCTTTGGCTTGACGAAATGGGAGAGACTCAGGGATTCGCGCCGTGCGGGCGGTCCTCATTAAAGCTCCTCCGCCTGAGCGCACTGCATAGTTTTTGATGTACCGTGCGTGCGGTCAACAATAAAAAGGCCGTGCAAGCGGAAGACAGTCTACCCATTCGATCGGCACGCAATAAAATCGACCGTGCAAGCGGCAGGCAATGCGTCCGCACGATCGGCCAGCAATCACTTGATCGTACAAGCGGCAGGCAATCTCGCCGCGCAATCGGTACGCAATAAAACCGACCGTGCAAGCGGCAGGCAATGTGTCCGTTCGATCGGGCGGCAAACATTTGCCCGTGCAAGCGGCCGACAGTGACCTCTACCTTCGGCTCAGTTTTCACACACCGTGAGCGTAAACGGTACCTGCATGAGATACGACGCAGCGTTTAGGCTGGCTAAGCGTCGACTATCGTGTTATCAACATTTCCCTTCACCGCAAAGCTGGAATGAACCTGCGTGAGGCTACAGTTATCAAGAGTGATGGTGTGGGCTTCTCCATGAAAAGTTTGGGTAGTGCGGCAGGCATTAGTCCGTGTTCGCAGGATGTGAAAATGCTTAACATACCTAAGAAAAATGATTAAAATACCCCATATAAACCTACTCCAGCAGCAAGCGAGCGGCCGACCTTCCCCGCGCAAGCGGCGAGCATTAGAAACCGTGCGGGCGCCCCACGTTAACCGTACTAACGGCCCTTGACGACCGTACAATCGCACACTAACGAGCGATTGTAAGTTCGTCGCTGGCCGCCCGCACGGTGCGAGTCCCTGAGGAGTGTAACTGGCTAGCTAGGCTGTGCTTCCCCTCAAATTTCCATGGTCTACCCTCTTCAGAGACATACAACTGATGCTCATATTCTGATTCGTCACCATTTAAGAGAGATTTATTCACAGAATTCACAAAAAAATACAAGAATGACACTTTTTGGAAATCTACAGGTGGACGCCGAAACTTTGTATATACCAGTCAACAACAATTCACGACAAGGACATGGGCGAGAGTGGATATATTACGACAAAACCTCGAAAGTTTACCTCACTTGTCGAACTGCTCCAAAAACATATTTTTGGCTCAAATGCAGTATATACAGCAACTGACTCCAAGGGCATGAAAAGAGAGAGTATGCACATATTTGAAAATGGGGAAAGTCCCCGGTAACACAGAATGAAGTACCTGCTTAACATTGTAAAGTTGCAAGCGAACTATCAATAATATGAGTAACCTATAAATTGAGACAGTTAGTAACTTGAAGATAAGTACGAGGTAGAAAAGCGATACACTTTACTACACGCGCCGATAGAGTGATGTCCACTTGCCGTATACAGCCTGTTTCAAACGGAATTGGGCGAATGTAGCTGTCGCTTGTCTGCCTCGCTACAATTTGCGCCATATGGCAAGCCAACAGCATTTCTTGACACCACCAGCTAACCAAGATTCCGTTATTATTTACTTCCATTTATCAAATTTTATGGCAATAACTGCGGGTTCGCACTTGATGCAAGTCCCTACGAGGACGAGCGGCCATACTGATAGAGTGGACCAATTCCTTGAAACAGACTAAAACTTATCGGCCCTTGTTCAACAGGCCGATGCTAACCTCACTTTGAGAAAAGCATATCAGTACTACACGATGATGATCTTTGGAACAGCGTTTCAGTTCCTACCCTCATAATCCTCAAAAATTCTGCATATCCTAGTCTGATACAGTTTCAAGAAAAAGGACTTTTCGTACAGTTGCGACCTCTGAGGACCCTCAGAACATGGAGATGGAAGAGGCTCCACATTGAGCTGCATATTATGCACATAAAAGGAAACGAACAGTATACATGCTGAACATATCACCAAAAGTATATAAATCCTAGCACAAACTGGTGTGCGCTAATCGTGTGTCAATAACCGGATACGTTTCGTCGGTGGTTCGGCTCCTAACACTGGAAATAAATGATAAAATCGTTGATAGCCTTCAAAAAAGTGCCCATTCACAATACCGCTAAGAATTTCAAAGCAAAGAAACGATCAATCATTAGCATGATGTGCAGTGCATTCCTTTTCAACTTCTGGAAGAATACGCACAAATCTACCGGCAACTGACTTTGTATGAACTGCAATCTTGACATGAAAACGTTTATTATCAAAAATGTTCACCGCATCAAAGGCCAAGCGCCACGAGTGCGATGCGCAAAAGTTCCAAGAAGGTCTCGCAAAAAGACACTTCAATATAAATTCAAAGATAGAAATAGCAAGTGCAAAAACACCTAAATCAGAAAAAAACTAGATAGTTTTTTGAGCTCACACCTTGCACAGGAATTTATGTTTGTATTATTCTCCTACTCATGATACCTCAATCCTAAGAACCCAATGGACCGGGAAAAGTTCTGATAGAATTTGGCAGATTCTTGTTGGGAACTGACTCCTAAATCAGTTTAGTCTGCGGGAACATACTGAAAAATGAGAGCGCATTACTGCTAGTATATGAGTCCAAAAGATATATGGCCTAGGATTTATAATCATCCCATCACGTTGAATCTAACATAAAAGAGGTCAAACTTTCAAAATTTTCAGAACATTGACAGACAAACTAACCAGATGTACTCAGCGACATCGCATGCATTGAATTAGAGCTGCTGTTCATACTCCCTGCACTCGATTTTCGTTCATTTGACATGTGAGCGACAATTTCTGTCACTAAACAGCCATGATCTCGCGTCAGCTCAGCCCAAGTGTCAGTCTAAAAGTTGTAAATCACACAGAAGTAAAAGATTTACCATTACAAACTAATGAAAAAAGTCAAGCTTAAGGATAACAACCTGTATGACGCTGTTGATATTCTGCGCAATGAATCTTACTGCCTCGTTTTTCAGTTCGGCCGAGTTGTACATATCAGCGTAGACGAGAAATTTACAGGCAGTGTCAACGATTAATCCATTCCGTAGCACCTTGAATATGAGCGCTTCAGAGGGATGATGTATCCTCATACGACTCACATGATCCGCCATTTCTTTCAGGCCGGGTAGTTGGAATCTATCCGCAGCTGCCAGCAAATCCAATCCCATAGATTGTATGTTAGGGGAACGACCAGAATACATATACATTAACAATTCTTGCATTACCTAGAAAACAGAAGAACCATAAAGGTGGCAAGAGTACTAAAAAGATTAGCAACAACCTCGTAGTCTATATCTTCAAGAACAACTCTATTAGTTTTAGCCTCCTCCGTGTGTGGCTCCAACATAGCAGCAAAAACTGGAGATCGAGCAGAGAGCACGACCTGAAAGATTACAATGCCAATCTGATGATGACACACAATATGAGGATACCATGGCGGACAAGGGGTGATACTAAGACAAGACTGCGAGCGGTTTGTTGTGCAGATGCCTTGTTTTTACTTGTGAATGGAATAATCCTCTAATACTTGTCAAATCAAAAGTTCAAATTAGCTTTGTGAAAAAAATATTCGGAGAGCCTGGGTAACGCCACGTGTTATGAAGGAATGTAGGCCCATAAAATTCCGAACATCCGACAAAACTTTCGCAAGAGCGTCGCTGACGTCACTCTCCTTGTTCTTTTGGAAAAATTTTCCCGTTTACACCATCGCCACCCCTTTCCAAAAAAAGAAACTCCGGGACCACCAGTGGAGTAGATGCATGTGATATGACCACGATTAACAAGAAAAGAATACCTTATGCACAGGGATTTCTTTATCTCCCACAACGATCGTGAAATCAGAAAGTTTAGCGTCTTTGAATATTGACTCAAGATCTCTTGTCACCTAAATACAAAACTGACAAAACGTGCTCTCAAGCAGCGTGCGAAAAGCACCTCCGACAACTTCGGTTCTGGAGGTCCAAGGATTTTTGGCGCCTGACTGGTCCTCGTTATTGTATCGAAGGTGACCGTCATGTTCAGCACCAGCTGAAGTTCATCTGATGGATGCACATGACTGATCAGTAAATCCCTTCGAATGTACTCGAAGTAGCCGTGTAACTGAAGACATAGAACTTGCTACACAATAGTTTGTAGTAGTGTCTACCTGTTGTGTGCCAGTATACACAGTTGTTGGAATTTCCTCATTCCGGGAATTGAACACAGTAAACTTGAATTTCGCTTTGAACTGGACATTTGTCTGGTTTGAGAAGCACTGCAAATTGTGATGAAAATAAGCTGCTTTTTATTTCTCCTTACACATGTACCGCCGATTCGTTGACCGCACGGATTGCTCAAACTCTGCGGACCATGTCGGCGCGGCTGAATTGTCTCGAAAGCATAACTTGTATAATGGCGAACTTTTACCTGGGCAGCGCTTTAGCTCGCGGCGCGTGCGCAGTGATGTCCAGTCCGTGCGGTCAACGAATCAGCTATACCAAAAGTGAGAAAAAGCTTATACTGAAGAATTGAATCAAAACAAATAAAAGTTTCCATCAATACTTGTAATAACGGGCTGAGGGTGTTTTCGTGTTTGTGTGTGGTGCGTGAGTGTCTGTTACAAAATTCGTGTTCCAGCCATCGTCTCGAGCCCAAATTTTGCATAGCGCAAGCTACCATCATACAAGTCCACCATGGAAAATTACGACCGGATGCTTTGAGTGGATCCCTTATAAACTGCGTGCCAAACGGATCCACTTGGCTTCTGGCCCGCAAAATTGGGTACGCATTTCCACTTTTTGCAGAGTCTTGGATGTGTTTGGCAAGTAAATGTGTAGGCCGGACTTAGGCCTAAAAAGTGATCAAAAGTCAACTACTTTACAGATGGCGCCAAAAAGAATGGGTTGCACAAATGGTCAATTTGCCAGGGTTTTACCTGAGCATTTGACAAGATTTTTGCACAGAGATGTAGCTCACGATTATTATTGTTCTTATGGCGACTACCAAAACAATGGAAAATTCAAGAACCCATTCAAATTTGCGTTTGTTATTCTGCAAAAAGTTTCATCCACGCAAAATCACCGATTTGACATAAAAAGCTTCCAGAATGTTGTTTACATTTTATAGCAGAACCAGTAAGAGTCTCTGCGAAGTAGAGGTGACGCAATGGTACCATTATATTCTGCCACATATATGTGGCAGAATAGAATATATGTGCCAGTTGCTCTGATATAGAAGATAGAGAGTCAAGCAGGACCCTCGCAATGCGCTCTTGTAAGTTCTATGACTGTTCATGTCCCCTATAAGATACCAATAACCAGCTGGAATACCCCTTCGCTAGGTTTCTTCAACATAACACGATAGAACCATTCCTTCCCCTGTCTACTTAACATCTCCCTCTCCCTCGCCCACTTCTACATGGCCATCCCTGCAGTTGGTCTTTTGGGGCCGCATGCACTAACCTCTCCACTGGGAAGGGGATCGCAGCTTGAAGGAAAGCTTTATATTTTGAAACTCCAGATACCTGGTTTTCACGTTGTGCACCTATCCGTAAGTATTCCTACTACCCTTCACTATGAACATGTTGAACAGGAGCGAGAAACTGTACGAACCGCATTTTCCAGCTTTTGTATGATCCCTGATGATCCCCGGCGCTTTTTTTTAAAGTCATTTTTCTTTCTCCGAAGTTAACGAAAACCTTCCAAAGTTGTACTGAACTTCTAACACAACAGTGTTAAGCATGTTGCTGATGAGAACAAATGAGTTTTTGAAAAGTCGAAGTTTTCGGTAAACCTCAAATTTCGACCTGTGGATCATCGAAAATTTCATGACTTCAAAACATCATTTGTTCTTATCAGCAACATGCTTAGCACTGTTGTGTTAGAAGTTCAGTACAACTTTGGAAGGTTTTCGTTAACTTCGGAGAAAGAAAAATGACTTTAAAAAAAAGCGCCGGGGATCATCAGGGATCATACAAAAGCTGGAAATTGCGGTTCGTACAGCTTCTCGCTCCTCTTCAACATGTTCATAGTGAAGGGTAGTAGGAATACTTACGGATAGGTACACAACGTGAAATCGGTATCTGGAGTTTCGAAATATTAGGTTGTCCGGAAATTAATGCCCGTTTTGAATTTTAACCGCAATAAGTCATACACTCTTCACTTCTAAATAGATAGCAAAGTACCATTCGATAGAGCAAAGCAAGCTCTACAAGATGGCCATCTTGCTTTTGCAACAGCTCCCATCCATCTCGAGTTTCGAGCCAAAAACTAAAAAGACTCAGCAGCCCGAAAAATCGAAAAATATCGTAACTCATTTCATAAAAATTCTACAAAAATTCTAATTTGCTCGCGTAAACACTATCCACATAAGACATCAATATAGGCCGTTGCCGTATTTTTTTCTCTGTTAGAAACCAAGAAAACGGAAATTTTCGTGCATTTGCCAAAGTGATGCTGTGCCGTCCCCATATAGGTAATTGTATACCACAAGCCTGTAGAAGTACAGACTTAAATTTTCAGCTCTCTACAAGCTTTAGTTCTCGAGAAATTTGAATTTTAGCTTGGACCGCTTAAGTAAGGAAAGCTATATTCGGTATTTCTCGAGAACTAAAGCTTGTAGAGAGCTGGAAATTTAAGTCTGTACTTCTACAGACTTGTGGTATACAACTACCTATGTGGGGACGGCACAGCATCACTTTGGCAAATGCACGAAAATTTCCGTTTTCTTGGTTTCTAACACAGAAAAAAATACGGCAACGGCCTATATTGATGTCTTATGTGGATAGTGTTTACGCGAGCAAATTAGAATTTTTGTAGAATTTTTATGAAATGAGTTACGATATTTTTCGATTTTTCGGGCTGCTGAGTCTTTTTAGTTTTTGGCTCGAAACTCGAGATGGATGGGAGCTGTTGCAAAAGCAAGTTGGCCATCTTGTAGAGCTTGCTTTGCTCTATCGAATGGTACTTTGTTACCCATTTAGAGATGAGAAGTATATGACTTAGCGCGGTTGGAATTTAAAACGGGCATTAATTTCCGGACAACCTAATATAAAGCTCTCTTTTGAGCTGCGATCCCCTCCCCGCGGGGATGTTCGTGCATGCTGCCCTTGGTAATCAGCGTGTACATTTACCCCGTTGCGCCAACTCGCAGCATTGTAGCCTAAAGCTTGCAAAAAACCGATAAAATTCATGAAAAGTGTTTTTTTGCTGTTATCATATTGGTATTGGTAATCAACACGTCCACTTACACTTTGTGCCGACCCACACTCAGGGCCCAGCATGCGTTGGTTTGGAGCATTTTTGAAAATGAAGTCCCCATGACTTCGCAAAAATTAACGAAGTCCCTTTTGACGTAAAATCGGGAGGGAAACCCTTATTCAACCAACATAACAATAAAAAACCGGAAAAATCGCATTTTGAGGTAACCGTTAAAACAAAAAGCGAAAAAAAAACATTCTGAATTGTTTGAAGGCTCTGTCACTAAGTATGGTACCATTTTAGTGTTCAGAATGTCGAAACCTCCTAGGCCAGCCAAATCTGTGGCCTCAACAATCTGGCGATGCATTTTTCGCGCTACATAGCCCAAAGGACGCCGCATATGATTGGAGCGCGCTATCTATCAATGGTAATTCACACTATTTCTAGCTCAAAAAGAGGAGAGGCAACGGCTTGCTTCGCTCTCTTCACTATATGATAGACTTTCAGCGTTCAATCGTCCAAATCAAAAAGTTCCACAAATTATGTAAACTGTCCGATATTTATGCTCCGAAGTTGGTCTAGAAACTAACAAATTCGGAAACGGGTATTAGGACACATCTTATATATTAGGTTGTAAAGAAAGTTCTGCCAATTCTCGTAAATACCAAAAATGAATGCGAATGCAAAGGGCTGGTTTGAAATGTGTTCTTAGTGTGCGATGGCCCTAGCTACCTAACACGTTAATCAGCTCGAAAAATGACGATCAACTAGGAAAAAAATGCCCAAAAAAAGAAGAAAATCCGTTGCGCTCGGGTCTGCAAAAAGCACATTTTTCAGATTATGGATGCGCAGAACTTCCAAAACTTTGATTTGAAAATCCGTTTTATACCCTATGTATTGGCTAGGTGAAGTAGTATCCGGCTATTACTCGCCCTGGTACCTGCACCTTTTTGCCAGCAAGCAATAACTAACTGAAATCAGGGTTCAAAAAATCGAACTCTCCACATGTTTCGAAACGCAGCCAGCGCGCTTTTAGGAAAAGAACATTTATGAAATACCTAATCAATAGTCTAACAAGGAAAGGAAGGTTGGTCGAAGTGGCCTTTTGAAATGAGATGTACACTGCCTTGTAGAGCTTGGAACGCTGATTCCAAATCTACCTTTGCTATCTGCTGCGGGCTTCTGGGCGAGGAGTTATGAAGGTTTTTGTGAGTAAAAATTTGAATGCAAGAGTAGGCTAAAATTAGTTGTAACATTTTTTATTGGGTTTAAAATGGTAGTCGGGTCACTCGGTGCAACAAATATTCTTGATTCAAACATACCAATTTGCTGCTGCCCCATTGGAAAACATTGAGAAAAGGTTACGACTGATTCTACCCTATTTTTGCATTCAGATTTTTACTCACAAAAACCTTCATAACTCCTCGCCCAGAAGCCTGCAGCAGATAGCAAAGGTAGATTTGGAATTAGCGTTCCAAGCTCCACAAGGCGGTATACACCTCATTTCAAAAAGCCACTTCGACCAACCTTCCTTCTCTTGTAAGGTTGTCAGTACAAATGACCAAAGTATCGCTAAATCACATCCACTCATGATGAAGATATAAGTAAAAAAATTTAGCTCAGCGTCTATTGGCAGAACTTTACAACCTTTCTTTACAACCTAATAGATATAAAGCTGAATGTGCGTCTGTCTGTCTGTATGTCTGTACGTGTGTGCGGAATAGAAATTTTTATTTCTAAACCCATTTGGACCAAACTTGACACACATAGTACTCTGCGTTGATACCACTGCTT